TACATGTATTCGTAATTATTGAACCGTTTCGGTTCGAGGCTTCCGGGTCGGTACGCATACAAACCGAACGATTCCTAGGACCATTTTTCCTGCAGACAAAATCCGCGCTGGCGCGATCACCACAACCTTGCGCAACATCAAATGGCAAACGTAATGAAAGCGGAATGAAACTGCGCTTCTCATACTCATTATATTGTGCTTAACGGACCATTATCAGTTCGGACCAGCAACATCTGTGCAGCGCGAGATCAAGCGACACTGTGCGAAGAGATCCAGTGAAGAAAACATTTGAATTCGCCACTGAAGAAATAACATTGCTGCGAGATCTAGTGAGAAGCATTCAAATTTCTCCGTTATTAACCGTACAGCGCTGACGTGGGAACCAGAAACATTGTGCCGTGAATGAACATGGATTTAATGTTGCACTTCAAAACTCAAATATTATATAAATATATATTTAAATGTTATTTTTAATGTGATTACCAAAACATTATTTGTTCATCCTTCAAAGATTATCCCCATTTATAAACCTGAAAGTTTCAAGATGTAGGAAAACTCAAACTTATTTAAAAATAGTTTTTCTTTTAATAAATAGGAAATTTCTCTGCCATTTTTCTTTTTGCTGTATCGAACCGAACCGCACATTTTGTGAACTGTTACACCCCTAATGTATATATATATTCTCATTATTTTTTTTTATACACTTTTAAAACATTTTTATTTTTTGTTTACATGCCTGCCGGGTATTTTAAGTTGAGGTGCTATTTGTTTTTATATTAGACTTTTTCTATATTTACTGTTGCACTAAAGTCCAAAGTGAAGATTTTATGTTATTTATTACTTGATTGTTCAAGCTACCTCACAGAAGTGCTCTGTTTGTTAACAGAGTTGTTGAATGTTAAAATAAGGTGAATTAAATCAAAAATAAGGAACATCCTGGATCTGTTTTTTCTCTCTTCTTTATTGTTTTTTTTTTATGTATTATATAAGTATCGGATCAGGACTCGGTATCGGTAGATACTCAAAATCAAATGACTCGGACTCGGACTCGAGGGCAAAAAAACCTGATCGGGACATCCCTAATATATATAGTAATAATATATATAATACTTAGTAAGCATACGACTTTTAAAAAAAATGTACCGACCCCAAAATTTTGAAAGGTAGTTCAAAAGTTTTAACATGAAGTCATTAAACAGTAGCATTGTTTTCCACACCAACATGCAATGTCAGGATGTAATGTAATATATTTCATAACAATGAGCATAAATATCTTTACAATTCTGAATCTTATCCATCACAAAAAGGAAAGGCTCGCATCTAAGACTGTCACGATTATGGCATTTTGGCTGGCAATGCATTGTTTTATTTCCTTAGACACTAAAAACTAATATCATACAGGGTAGGCCGATGAATAAAATACTAATATTTTCCTTGGATAATTGTTTTTTTTTTTAAATGTCCATTAATGTGCTTTCTGAATAAAAACATAGCCTAATATCATTTATAGCAGGATTATCAATAAAATACTCTTTACAGTCAAGGAAGACTTAAAGGCAATCACATAAAGGCAATTCTTCCCTTTAAATATACATGAGTAAGTCTAGTGTGACCAATTCAATCTGATATAGACAGTCGTTTGGTATAAGCAAGCCTTTTGTTTGAGGTCATTTTTCACATCAACTGAAACGTTCTAGCGACACAAACCGCATGTTCACCCACAACAGGTGCGTCTACAGTGAAGCATTACTTTGTCACCGTGTTTGTCCTTGCGCTGAATTAGGGAATGTTGCAAGTAGGTCTCAGCTGTGAGGAAACAAGCAGGCTTATGTGCCAATTTAGTGCTGAGGCAACAGTATTCCGGTCATCAGATGTACAGTTTGTTCTACTGGAGCTACACTTTGGATTATTTTTAACCATAATATTCAGAGGATATAGGGTCAGTGGCATTATGATATAAAGGGACAGTTCAGCCAAAAAGGAATTCTGTCAAAATTTACTCACTTTTATGTTGTTCCAACCCTGTAGGACTTTCTTTTTTGTGTGTTTTTGTCCATATAATGAAAGTCAATGGGGTGTAATGTTGTTCTGGACCCCATTGGCTTTCATTGTTAGGACAAAAACAGTAAATCTTATTTTGTGTTCTACAGAACAATGAAGGTGAATACACAACAGAAATGTCATTTTTTGGGGGTAAAAACACACTATAAAGCATGGTGTTGCAATGCTGCTTAGTATGTGACTATTGCTTGAATGCTACAGAACCAAACAAAATCAAAAGGACAAGCTCACCAACAACCCTCCTGCGTTCATCACCATCACTGTCTCCATTCTCAGATGAACTTGTGCTGGCCTTTCTCTGTCGCTGCTCCATTTCTCCTGGGCTGGGCGGCTGGAAGAAAGAGAGAGGACATAGAATAAGAACTAGAGCAGTAAAGTACAAGTACAGTAGGTCTAAGTGTACGTGTGTGTGCAGTAAGAGCAGTGTGCTAGAAAAGAAGGACAATGGCAGAGGAAGGATTTCTAAATAAAGCCCAAAATCTGTGTCATTGTACAGACCTGATTATACCTTGTACATTCGTCTCAGGTGATCGGACAAGAAGTGAAAAATATTGCTATTTACATCTTGTATTAACACGCATACGTCTCCTGTGACCGCTTGAGTGTGAATTTTGAGTTGATGGTCTCTGATGACTTCTGAATGTGGTTTGAGCTAATGGGAAAACATTTTGGACTCAATTTACACCTCAATTTAAGATGAATATCTACATAATTATCGCACACTAATAGTATTACTAACCATTATTCTACTGATTATTAAATGGGATATTATGGAAATTTGATTAATCATGGAAAGGGAAAATAAAATGTGTTATACATTTTTTTTATGTTATAAACCAAAAAAATTATTTCTTCATGATTGTTTTTGCTAACTAAAATTATTCAAAATAGTTTTTATGAATTTAATAAAGCTGATATCTAAAAAACTTAAACTCGGACAACAGACAATAGATGTTGCCTTGGCAACTGACTGAAAAAATAAGTTTAAGTTACTCAAATTAGAAAAAAATCAAATTACAATAAATTAAAGAAAAAATGACAAAGAGACATACAATTATTAACATTTCATTTTAAATTAATTTTTCTGCAGAATGGTCTGCGTTTTTTCCCAGCTGCAGCTTAAAAATATTGATCCCTCTTCTAGCCAATCAATTGTACTAGTATGGTTTTATATAACATAACTGCATAATGTTATTTTTGTATTATCATGATGCATGTCTATGCACTTTGTGGTGAATTGTTTTCAGTCTGTAACTCTGTATTGATATTTATTGCATGGACATTTGCTTTATTACTAAATGCTTATTACAAAATGCTAAATTATAAAAACAAAATGTATTTAAAGGGATAGTTCTTTCTTCTGTGAAACATAAAAGATATTTTGAGAAACTTTTTTTTGACCATACAATGAATATTAATGGGCTACAGTGTTTTCTGGTTCCCAGCGTTCTTCAAAATATCTTCTTTTGTGTTAACAACAGAAGAAAAAAAATTCATACCAGTTTGTAACAACATGAGGGTGAGTATATGATGACAAAATTTTCTTTTTTGGATGAACTATCCCTTTAAGAACGGTCCAGTTGTGACCAGAATAGCTTAGCCTTGGATGTTAATATCATGCATAAACGAGCATTATTTTACAAAATAACCAAGATCAAATGGCAGAACACTTCTGACAGTTATACAGCATTTTGCAGTAGCGAGGTAAACTTCAATTACAAGCAGCACTGACAAATAATCAGACAGCAGACGAGCTATCAGTGAACTAACATCTGGATCTGCAGCAAAGGCATGACTCTCTCCCAGCAGCCGTAAAGCATCACTCTCTCCTCTCTCAATTCGATTTCCCTGAATATGCCACTCACAGCTGCCACTGTCACCGTTTCAATCAAAATTCAATTTGCTGTTTCAGCAGGACGGGCTGTGGGCAGGAAGCAGATGTGTTTTCTGGGGTGTTGATAATGCGAAACTCTTCATGCTGTTCCTGCATCGGCCTCAGACGGATGCGGGACACTCAAAGAATAGCCATGAGCTTGCTTTCCTCCATATATATAAAAAAAAAAACAGTCTCACCCGACATCCTATCTGTCCCCACTGAGCCTAATCCCAGGCCGAATGCAGTGGGCGGCTCGAGTGATTTCTGCAAGCTTATGGGAAACTGGTCTTTCAAACATGGATCTGCCATTCAGCTGGTAGGCTGGTATTTCAGAGTTACACATACACTGAGAATGCTGAGCGCTCGAGGAATAAATCATTCAGAAACACAGTGCCTGTCTGACAACAAAAAAAAGGATAATAAGTGAGAGAGCGGGCTGAGAGCCATATCAGCACTTTATATAAACCCCAAAAAAGCTTGACAGGAATTTATTTCAGTGCCAATGAAGAGCTTTCTTGATATTGTTGCAGGAGTAAATAAAGAAGAAAAGAAAAAAAAAATCACAGCAACTAATCAATAGCTGGATCATGGTTTAAACCAGGGGTGTCCAATCCTGCTCCTGGAGGGCCAGTAGAGCTGCACGATTAATCGTTGATCGCAATCTCGATTCAAACACCCACTTGATCTCATTCCTGAATGCCAGTGACTAGGCTATGTCTATTAAACCTTTGACTAAATCACACTGGAACATTCAAATCTGTAGTGGCGCTGCTGCTGACCCAGAGAAAGCAGTTGTCATGTGTAGGTATGAAACCGCTTCACAAACACTGTCTTCAACCACACAGAGAATCATTATTTCTGTCTTACATATTCATATTATCACTTAAGTACTGTGATAAAAGTTCTATGGAAATGATCGAAATAGAGCAAACTACCTTTTGAAAGCAACTTTGATTATTGACTACATCGTCACACCAGCAGGTGGTGACAAATGACAGTAAAAAATGTATTTGTCATTGAATCATTAACAGTCCTTCCAGAAAAACGCAGAGATTTTTTGTGATTGTTGCGGGCAAAAATCCTTGATTATGCGGCCCGTTTTCTTTAAAAATGCGATGGAATATGCGGGATATTTATGCAATTTTATGCGATGAAATTGCGGGAACTTGCAAAAACTGCGGTTTGATGAAAAAGAGAAAAAAAAGTGATTCCCCCAACACCCTGTTCTCACTAGGCTACTACCTTAATGTAAAGAGTCATTTCTTATTACTTCCTATGATAAGCAAGCATACTACATCACAGAAAGTGCTGGGAATATTTAAGTTCTCATCTTGTTTTATTTCAGACCTTAATAAAAACATCAAACTTACAAAACATTGATGAGTCAAACTGTAGCTTTACAAAAGGAATATGCTACAACTTCTGTAAAAATGAATAAATAAAATATAAAAAAATAAAGTGTGCTCCTGTTTTACAGCTTTTCGATGATGTTCACGTAGCGTAATTACGTCACTTCATAACGTTCCCATGGCAACAGGGGGAAATGGCTGCTCTTGTGTGAAGCAAACACAACATTTTTCAACTTTCTGCTAAAGATATATGACTTTTTTGCAACGAAAATGCGAGGATTATGAAATCATGCAAGCCCGGAATTTTGCACGGAAAGTGAAAAAGTGAAAGCGAAAGTGCGGCGTATTTGAAAAAATGCGGCCCCCACATAAATATGCAGACTTTGGCTGATTATGCACTAAATCATGCGATCGCATAATCGCGTTTTTCTGGAGGGACTGAAAATTTAAGAGATTTGTTCAAAAATGCTGATTCATCCAGTAATGAAACAAGTATTTGAGTCATTGAATCTAATCATTTAGTTTTGTTTTTTAAAATAATTCAAATTAAAACATTATAAATTGTCTGCAGCAATTAACATTTTGTCAGAACTGCTAGTAAACTATGCAATTTTGTTTGGTTGTCTGTTCAGAATCGTGACGTCTATTTGAAAAAAAAAAAAATTGCTTCTCAATTTATCTAGAATCATGCAGCTCTAAGGGCCACCTTCCTGTAAAGTTTAGCTCCAAAACAGGTGCCTAAAAGTTTCTAGAGATCCTGAAGACTGTGGTTAGCTGGTTCATGTGTGTTGACCTGAGCTAAACTCTACTAGAAGGCTGATCCTCCGGGAGCAGGATTGGTTAATATCATATGTTGGTAGGGATTACTTGTAACCTGTTAGAGCAACAACAAAGAAACAAAATAACAAAAATACAGAGCTGGATGCATCCTAAACAAGTCAAGAAAAGGAAGAACTTGTTCTGTCATTAATTACTCACATTCATATCGTTTCAACCAATAAGACCTCCGTTCATCTTCGGAATTTGGAACACAAATAAAGATATTTATAATAAGATCAGAGAAATGTCTGTCTCTGATGCTTCAAAATGTTCATAAAGAGATTGTAAAAGAAATCCATTTGAATAAAGCAGTTGAATCCAAGACAAGTTCAAAGACTTATGGGTTTGGAAAGACATAAGAGTGAGAAATTGATGACAGAATTTTCATTTTTGAGTGAACTAACCTTTAAAGGTTGTAAAGCAAGTTTAGTTGAATAAAATTTGCATGTTATTATTTTTAATGTTTCAAGTCATTTTAGTATCATTTATGTAAAAAGAATCTTTTCATTATGTTTACATCTAGCTCCAAATAAAGATCGAGCCTTAAAAAATGAGGTGAAGTAGTCAAGTGAAGTAACCTTCATTTATATAGTGATTATAATTTTATATATTCATTAATTGTGCAAATGTGACGATACCAGTCTTTCTGCACGGTTTTACTGAGTACAGAGACTTAATTAGATACACGCATATAGACGGCAGCGTTCCTGTTTGCAGCGCTGAGAACTGTAGCCAATCACAGAGAAGTATGTTGAGCACATGACAAATCAGAATTCCCATCCGTTTAAAATTGATAAATATTTGAAGGCTACATTTTAATGTAGCTATTATTTACATGTATATTATTAATGTTAATAATTCACTTATTTAATTTATTTTTTATTTTATAATAAATAAAATAGTTAAATAGTTCAAATTAGTCTGTTTTAAAATTTCTTGCTATGTTATTGCAATTGGTAAACTGAATTTAACCTTGTGAAAATAAAAAAACGTTTTGAATAATAGTGAAAATAAAGCAGTCTTGGGTGTTGTAAGGGGCCCAACCCTTGGTTCTGTGACCGGGGCTCAACATTTGGTGCTACGCCCCTGGGCCTACCACATGAATATTTAACATGTTCTTTCATTATAAATAACTATATCATGATATGTACACCACTTTTTTTTATTACATTTATTTTTAAAGAAATATTAATATTTTTATTCAGCAAGGATGCATTCAATTGATCAAAAGTGAAAGGACACTTATAACGATAAGCATTTCAAATAAATGCAGTTTTTTATTTTCCATATATCAAAAACCACAGTTTCCACAAAAATAAGCAGTTTTCAACACTGATCATAAGAAATGTTTCTTGAGCAGCATTTCTGAAGGATCATGTGACACTAAAGTCTGGAGTAATGGTGCTTGAAATTTACCTTTGCCATCACAGGAATAAATTACGGTTTAAAATATTACTTGTTATAATAATATTTCACATTATTACCGTTTTTACTGTATTTGCAATCAAATAAATGCAGCCTTGATGAGCATTAGAGACGTATTTCAAAACTCTTAACCTTAAACTTTTGCACTGTAGTGTATCATTGCTGAGGAACAAACATAGACATGATGTGACATAAGATAGTCCCACGGTGGACCCCTAGTTTTATTATGTTTTTAAGAGCCCTACAAGAACAGTGTACAAACAAGCAAAATTAAAACAACAAAACACTTTAACATAGTCTGTGCCAAACTATTAAATGATGGCCATTCGGTAGTTTGTTAATCACATAAGGACAATTCAGTCAATGTCTGTGTTTATTCACATTCCAGTGAGTTTTGTCAAGTCAAAAGGCTTTGAAACGACATGAACCCATAAGTAAATAAAACACTGCATGGAGAAGTGCCAAGAAAATATAAGGACGTATGCATGGACAAATACAATAACGTATAAATGGGTCTTCTCATAATGAAATATAATCTACAATAGGAGAACATTCATTTAAAAAGACCAATTATTTCATCAAACCCTTCCATTACGGTCTACGATTGTAATCTGATTGTTTTCAAATGGATTTCCACTATATATGAAATAATTAGACCTAGTTAGTAAATAGGATGGCTATATGTTGCTTAGCATTTTTTAGAAAACACAGAACATGTCTAAAAATATGTTCTTGTGACTTGATCACATGTTATGGTTTATAACCTTGTCCTTTAAATAACTAGTCTAGGGAACTTAACTTCACTAAGAGAGAATCAAGGGACTCATAAATGACTAGTGTGTAGCTGTATGAAACAACATACGTGTTTATTCAGTGTTTATAACCATGTTACACACAACTGATCTCACACAGACTAAAGCAGCGCCATCTGCTCCATGTGTGCAGGCCTTCCTCGTAAAATCCAGCCAAACATATCCTTAACCCGCTTTAAACGGTCTTTCGCAGTCAAACATACACACTACTGTTTTACCGCGGTTGATTGATGATGTCCATACCTCATTTCTGGATGTAGGACTCATATTCAATACCGTCTTGGACTCGTTTGCCTCGGCTGCCATCTTTCTCACCGTCTTCCGGAAGTGGTGCTACGGATGCCCGCGAGGTTCCAAAGAGGAGCAAAACGCGTTTTCGTCAACAGTCACACAACAGTCACACGCATATGCTGTATGATTTCACTGATGGGAAAAAAATACTAAGCTCCAGGAAACAGATGTCTTGATTTATTTTACATTATATTAATGTCTTGAGGCTAATTTAATGCTTTGTCCAGGCCAGGGAAAAGTAACAGAAATGTAATGATTAATGAATTACTTCTTTTACAAATATTTTTTCCAGGAATCACAGGTGTATGTCTGATTTTTCAGTTAGTGTCACTGGTGACTACTTAATCTTAGAACAGCTATCAAATTAACATTTTGGTATTAAAATTAGTGTGATGTTTCTTAATCCAAATTTCTCAACAAAAAATAATAAAATAAAATTAAATTTCCCTTTTCCTTTTTACAATTTGTATCCATTTATTATGGGGAAGTTTAAAAGTAAGTTACAAGCCTAAAAAAAGGGATTTAGGCTAATTTACCCTTTACACACTTTAATTATAATTTATGATTTGAAACTTTTTAAAATAAATTCTTCCAAAATTCTGTGTTATTCTGTTTGTGTTCTTCCATTTTTGTGATGACACCTCCTCTGTACGTTTTCAAAATAGTTAGCAATACAGGCAAAGAAAAAAATCATCTAATAATATTATGAACGTCATTCTCATTATTTTATTGGGAATGATTCCTTTTTTGAAAGAAAACATGAATATATTGTTATCCTTTGTAAATGTATCTGAAGTTTAAAGCCATTGTGCATAAATTGTGTGAAGTATAAATATACTATAATGCCCTTTTCACTTCTATTTTTGTAGGTCACCTTTTCAAATCACATCAGTAAGTGCTTTCTCACAGATACATCACTGACCTGGATCATTTCCTTTCTCTCATCATAAAGGCACATGAAAAAGTCCCTTGAGCAAAACAGAAGGAATGCTGTGTATCCATGAAGAGAAAGTGTCATTTAGTTACAGACCATGACACAATGAAATTTTCCGCATACTCTGTACTTGTACTTGCACTCTGCAGAATGACAATAACGTTGAATCTAATCTAATATCCCTGAATCATTGAAAAAGTTACATTCTACAAATCCATGCGTTTATTGACACTAATCTCTGGCTCTGTAAGCACTTTTCTTAGAAGCATCATTCTGTTGATCCATCAGACTCTCACATCATGAGTCATGAAGCTTGTGCTTTTAAAACACATATGGTTTCAAACCATGTGGTTGACTCTGTAAACAAGCTGCATTTACCATAATGACAAAGATATTCATAAACATTCAACATGTGAAGCATTCCTGACCCATCCAGCTCTTAAAGGTGAAGACAGTGGTTTTGTTTAAATATTATGCCGTCCCGGAGGGGGGTTATTTCCCCTCCTTTTTTTTTTGTTTAAGGGCTTTGTGGCATTTTCTTTAACTGAAACGACACGTCCGTTGTGAAGTGACCTGAACTGCCTCCCTGCTGCTGTTGTTATTTCCACCTCTGACTCTCTCAAAGCACTTAGTCTGCAAAAGCGTGAATGTCAAGGGACATAAAATATCTGTGCCAGCTTCAGGCGACTCAAGACATCGCTGGGCATTTCAGAATCAAATGTGAGAGGGCATAAAAGAGAGCTGTATAGTCACACTTTTTTTTTCTTTGTAAAATTTATACAGTAAAACAATTATAAAGCAAAAAATGATGTATGACATAAAATTATTACAATAATAGATAAAGGGTATGTAACAGGTCAAATGTACCAAAAAATGTCAAACCATTCTTTTGGACAACAGATACAGCAATTCATTAAATATAAGTCTTGAAAAAATAAAACTGAAAAACTTTTCACATAAATTATTTTGCTGATAATAAAATGTGTTAACAAACAGGTAAAATGTACCCAAAAATCTCAAACAATTATTTTGGACAACAGATAAAGCAATTTGTTAACATTATTCATATGGTTAGATTTTATTAGTTAAAATATATATATATATATTATCAGCAAAATAGTTTGAGTGAAACATGATTTCTTTCAGTTAACATTTTCAATT